CTCACCAATCCTATGGTGTTTGTAGCAGGATTCTGGGATAGAGCAGGGAAAATGGGAGGAGGGAAAGTAAGAAGTAACATAATAAAAATCCCCGCGTTGGAGAAAAATAAGGTCTGGGTTGAAAGTGCTAAATTGAGTGCCCAGCACAATAGATGAGAAAAGAGGCAGACAAGCACTTCATTGTGAATTTTCAAAACGTCCATGATGGAGACAAGATTGGCGAGAGAGAGAACAGCTAGTTCACTTACAAAGGAATGGAAATCAGATTGCTTTCATAGGAACCCTGAATACTGGAAGGTGGCGAAATCATGCCCTGAGATTCCCTTCTAGACCAAAGACAATGATGATGATGGTAAAAAGTAATAATTCCAACATACAACTAATAACTAATAGTTACTGACTGCTTACCAAGTGTCAGGAAATACGCTAAATTCTTCCCATTGGTCTTCTCATTTAATGCTCGCTACAAGTTTAATAAATAATTTATATTATCCTTTTCATTTTACAAATGAAGAAACTGAAACGTAATAAGATTAACCACCTTGTTAAAGGCTGTGCAGATAGAAAGCTTTGGAGGAGAAACAAGTTTCCCCTCAAATCACAAAGATACTTGGATTATGCAGTAAGATGTCCATGCTCACACAAGGTAACAGAGGGAAGAGATAGAAGGAGAGAACAAATAGAAAACTGGACCAAGACTGTGACGTTTAAGGCATGAAAGAAACATCCATCAGAAGCAGAAAGCAAAAGGACAGTATCGTCGCTCTCATTAACTGTTAGTGAATGCTTCCCCTCTACAGTGGATAAACCCAATCGCAAAGTCTTTGACCTTAGGAATGTGCCTGATACTTGGCCTCCCCTGTGGCATTAGGCACATAAACAAACACTTGTCGGCTGCTGAAGCCAGCTGATGGCTGCAATGTGTTCTCGTACGGATGAAATATATTTATACCTGGAGCTTCACTTACCTTGAGAAGCAGGAGAGAAAGTTCAAAGGGAAGAACATGCAGGGTGTTTGGGTGGCCCCCTGAAGGGGCAGGCGGCTCCCTTGAGGAAACAGGATTTAATTGACCTTTTTCCAAGTAGGACTGTGCTGGTAACAGAGTCTTGCTGGAGCACTGGAGTGAACAAAGGCCCTTAGGAAGGGAGCGAACCACCTTGGAGGCTGCCGTTGATGACCAGCCTTGATAATCTCAGGAGGGCAGAATAAAAAAAACATTCTGGGGGAAATGTGAGGTGCTTGGGCATTTGGAAAAATTACTTAGACATGTACCAGATCTGTTGGATTACCGGAAAAAAAATCACAGAAAATTAAGCAAATAAAAACTGGGGACAAAATAGAAAGCTGTAAGAGGAGGAAGCAGATCATAGAACCTCATGGGTCACCAGTGAACAATACGTACGTTGGCTATTTTTTAAACCAAAAAGCGATTATATAACCATATTGCGAAGAAGACGGGAAAGCAGGAGGTCATGGGGTATAAGAGAACTAAATTCCTAAACACCGTAATTAGAAATTAACAGCCACCCTCTAAAACTGATAAAGTTAGAAGTAGCAATAAGAACATCCAACTTAAAACCGTGAGAATACGTAAAAGAAGTAGCTGCCAAAAAAGTTGAAAATGAGGCTTCTGAAGGACAGGGTGGGGTCGGGGTGGGGAGAGGGAGGGCAGAGAACTGTCTTTTAATACTATTAATTTTTAACGTATGTGCCTGTGTTACCTTATTATTAATTTTTTATATTAGAAAGTATGTTCACATGTTTCAAAATTCAAATGGCACAGTAAAAAGTCTGCCTTCTTTTCTGCACCTCCCCATCCACGTCCCCTTTGCCAAGGCAACCAACACTTTTTTCCTTGTGTAATGTTCCAAAGATCATTTGCTTGTATTGTTTTTATTCAAATAAATATTAGTTTAAAAGGAATTAAGGCAAGAAGAAAATCTGTAGAGGTATGTAGCTCTCATGGTCCAACACAATACATTTAAACTCAGTGCAATACGGTGACTTTTGTGGAAAATTAATACAATGTCATAATTTCTTGAGATCATCAGTAGTCACCTTTGCTTTAATGACAGTTTTCCTGAAAAAACAAAACAAACAAAAGAAGTCCGTGCTCTCTTCAGCAGCACATACACTAAAATTGGAACGATACAGAGAAGATTAGCATGGCCCCTGAGCAAGGATGACTGGCAAATTTGTGAAGTGTTCTATATTTAAAAAAAAAAACAAAAAACCTAAGCATATAGTTAAATTAAAAACCATCAAATTTACAATAACTACCACTTTTTCTCCCTGGTCACTGGCATGAGCCTTAGATGTCATTGTCTTATATTTGCTGCCACTTTGTGGATCAGAGGAATGCTGGCTTCCAGCCAAGTGTTCTGCCCTTACACTTGACAGTAGAACTGTCTTCCAGAGCTAATGGTAAGTTCGGCTGCTGGTTTTCCTAAGAGTCAAGGATAGATATTAGTAAAGACAAGATGCCATTTGGGAGCAGCCTCACTGGTTATTAAGCACAGCGTGTTTCATCCAGTGTGGGAAGCACTTTCCTGGGGCTCCGAGGACCCATTCCCGAGTGTGAGTGAGGTTCAGCAAGTGGAGGGGCCGGGGTGGGGGAGGGGCAGGGAAGAGGAATGAGATCTCAGAGGCTTTGCTGCTTAACTATAGAGGAGATGAGAGAAGTTAATCCTTGCAGCTCCCTGACTGTCATGTCAATGGCCACATCCGCCACCAAACAGGTGTCTGTGTATTCATTTACTCATTCACTCAAACATCAAAACTTTCTGACTGCCTATCACGTGTCTGTGCCAAGCTACATTCAGAAAGTACAGACAGGAGACTTCCGCCAAGATGGAGGCATAGGTGGAGACACCGTGCTTTCTCACACAACCAAGTTTAGAGACAACTAAATATTAGCAACAGAAAACACAGCCAGAACACAGAAAATTGAACTTTTCGGAAGTCTGATAACAACAAATTCGACCGGTAAGAGGGGCAAAACCAGCAGCTGGTAGAGCAGGGTAGCACAAGAAAACTCGGTCAGATGGACTCAGGCACGCGGAACCCAGGCGCAGGGTTGGACCTAGTGAGCAACCCAGCGAGTGACCGCAGGGAAACAGCAAGGGAGCAGGGCTGTGGGTTGACTGTGGTCGCGCATTCGTGCACAGAGACACAAGCGAGGGAGCCGGCAATTGGACGGGACCCAGTGGGTCCCCGCGGAGAGTGGCAGCAGAGGGCGCGGCCATTTCCCTGCTCTGACCCTGCCTCCACATACAGCATCATAACCCAGCGACCTGAGTGGCCCGGCCCTGGTGAACCACCTAAGGCTCTGCTCCTCACCCAGCGGCGTGAAACAGCAGAGGGGGCCGCCATTTCCCTGCTCTGACCACACCCCCACATACAGCGTCACAACCCAGCGACCTGGGAGTCCAAGGCTCCGCTCCTCATACTTAACGGGTGAGAACAGACCAAAAATGGCTCAAGAAGATCTCAAAGCCCCAGAGCCTATAAATCTAAGCGATGAATAAATAGCAAAACTCTCAGACACACAGTTTAAAACACTGGTGATCAGGATCCTCACAGAACTGGTTGATTATAGCCACAAATTAGACAAACATATGAAGGCGAAACTAATTGAAATGAATGGAATTGCACAGGAAACCAATAGCGATGAAAAGGAAACTGGGACTCAAATCAATGGAGTGGACCAAAAGAAAGCAAATAATGGCCTAACAGAAAAGAGTGAAGAAGCAAGAATTCAAAAAAATGAGGAGAGGCTTAGGAACCTCCAGGACATCTTTAAACGTTCCAAACATCCGAATTATAGGAGTACCAGAAGGGGGAAAGGCACAGCCACCAGTGGAAAACTTATTTGAACAAATAATAAAGGAGAATTTCCCCAATCTGGCAAAGGAAATAGACTTTCAGGAAATCCAGGAAGCTCAGAGAGTCTCAAAGAAGTTGGACCCAAGAAGGAACACACCAAGGCACATCATCATTACATTAGCCAAGATTAAAATGAAGGAGAGAATCCTAGAAGCAGCAAGAGCTAAGGGGACAGTCACCTACAAAGTAGTTCCCATCAGACTGTCAGCGGATTTCTCAAAAGAGACCTTACAGGCAAGAAGGGGCTGGAAAGAGGTACTCCAAGTCATGAAATCCAAAGACCTACAACCAAGATTGCTCTATCCAGCAAAACTTTCATTTAGAATGGAAGGACAGATAAAGTGCTTCTCAGATAAGATCAAATTCAAGGAGTTCATCATCACCAAGCCCTTATTATATGAAATGTTAAAGGGACTTATCTAAGAAAAAGAAGTTAAAAAAGCATGAACAGTGAAAGGACAGCAAACTCACAGTTATCAACAACCACACCTAAAACAAAAGCAAATTAAGAGGACAGCTAGATCAGGAGGGAACCATAGAAATGAAGATCTCAAGGAGGGTTAGCAACAGGGGAGTGGGAGAAGGAGAAGGGGGGAGAAGGTACAGAAAATAAGTAGCATACACAGTAGATAGAAAATAGATGGGGGGGCAAGAATAGTATGGGAAATACAGAATCTAAAGAACTTGAGACACATGGTCATAAACTAAAGGGGGGGTAATGGTAGGGACGGGGGGTAGGGTGGGGGGAATGAAGGGGGGGAATAGAACAACTGTAATGGAATAATCAATAAAAAATAAATTTAAACACACACACACACAAAAGAAAGTACAGACAGAAGGAGTGAGACAGACAGGAGCTCATGGGTGAGATGCTCTTTATTTTTTGTGATCCCAACTAAACAAAGGATTTGGAATTATACATTCTGGAGCCGGACATTCCCTTTGAAGTTATCTTTCCAGCTGGGGCCCTGTGAAATTGGGCAGCTGGCCTAGGGCCTCACTGGTATTTACAGAACTAAAATAAATCCAGTTTCCACTCTGATTGGGTCCATGCAGTGAATTATTAAAGGCGTCAAGAGCTGTCAACAATGACATTCTGCAAGTCTTTTCACAGGAAGTTTCTGGAAATGTGACTGAATGGGATCCTTGACTTTTCATGGGCTGAAACAACTCACCGAGCAGCTCTGACAAGGTGAGAGGAACTGTCCCCATGGGTCAGGTGGCTCCTAGACCCTCCAGGTCAACCAGGTGGTCTGTAGGAGTGGGCGTACTCAGCTGGGGGAAGGTGGGCCACAGCTGTAAGAGCCTCAGGGGATGAGGGAGGGACAGATACCGTGGGGGAGAAATCAGGAAGTGGAGTAACCAGAAACAAGACAAAAAGTCTTTGGTAACATCCACAGCCATGGTGGAAAAAAGAGAAGGGAAATTATATGGAGAGAGGGATGGGAGGCGTGGGGCTTGCCACGCAGTTAGGAGGACACCCAGGTTTCTGAGGGTGGACAGCCTCCTCCTCTGGGGGAGTGTGCAGTGTGACTTACTCAGATGAGCACTGGGAGCTGTATTCTGTCTTGTCAAGAGCGTCTGATCCTCAGGGAATAAAGCGAGCAGGCAGCTTTCCAAAGTAAAGGGCAGCTGAATCATGCTTTCTGAAAGAGAAAGAAATAAAATACGACTCATACAATATTCAGAAGAATTAAGAAGCTGAACCACAAAAACGTGCAGTTAGCCTTGGAATGCAGGGCCCAGGTTGACCAATGCTGTGTGACCGGAAGCCCCTATCCTAAGTCACGTGGTTGCTCCTTCTGGCAGGTTGAAGCCCCGAATGAAGACTCTCCTATCGAGCATGGCACAGAGCATCTTTCAGAATCGGAGGGCAAAAGCCAGACCGTCTCTCTGAGCAAGGCCAAGTTCTTTAGTACACAATCCTACACACACACACACACACACACACACACACACACACACAATGACACACATGTAAAGCTTATGAACAGCAGCATTGTTTGTCATACCAAAAGTTTGGAACAACCTAAGTATCTCTCAGGGGAGGGCAAGGTGAATACATGTATGCAATATTGACCAGGAAAAAAAAAGAAAGAAGGTTTTCATGTACCAGCATGGAACAATATATTACAAAAAATAAGAACTCGTGTTTACTACCATGTACAACAAACATTTGAGAATTTGCTAACAAATGCACAGACTAATGTTGGGAGGATAACCAAGAAGGCCATGATATTCTTTGTTTATTGGGAGGGCCACTGGGTGGCTGGCAGACGGCCCCAGGGAAGAGGTTCTCACGCTATACCATTTTATGTCTTTTGAATTTTAATGCATACAACATTATCTACTATAAATAAATCCAATGGAAAAAACCCAAAGGCCCTGCTTCTTTGAGTTCTATGCTATATGGCTAATTCCTCCTCCCTTCTTGCTGGCTGCAAATTTCTAGAAGCTACGCATCGTCAAGTCAAGGGAGTTTCCTTTAATTCTGTTTTGCTAGGAGCTGCGTTTTTAACAAATGACTATAGGAATAGGTGTTGAGTTTTGTCAAATGGTTTTTCAGCATCTAGGGAGATGGTAATTCTCCCCTTTAATCTCTTGCTACAGGAGTAGATAATGTTGAATCACCTTTCCATTTCTGGAATGAACCCATAATACATTATTCTTTGAATCCACTGCTAGGCTCAATTTGCTAGTATTCTATTAGGGTAGTTTTTCATCCATACTCCTAAGTAGAGTCGATGGATTGTCTTCTTCTAATTCACTACTTTTAGTGCTGGAGTTATGCCAGCACCGTAGCTGAGTTGGAAAGATGCCCATCTCCTGAGTTGCCCATCTTCACTGAGTTGTAGAACAGTTTACGTGACATGGAAGTTCTCTTGTCCTATTTAATCATTTAGCCCCCGGTGTCTCGTTTAGGGTAGATCTTTTGCTGCCTTTTCTTTTCTGGTTGTTTTCTTTTTCTTAAACTGATTCTTACCATCGGTCCTAGGGAATTATTCATCTTTTCCCCGTTTTCCAAATTCATTCACATGGAATTTCATGTAATTGCTTTACCCTTTAAAAACTCTTCCATATTTGCAATTGTTTCTCCTCGCTGATATTAATGTGCATGTATTTTCTTCTTTTTTTTCCTTAACGAGGCTTGCCAAAATACTTTAAAAAATTTTTAAATGTGGGGTGTTGCTACAGTCAGGAAACAATTGGCCCACTCCAGTTGCATAATTCTAGAATGGTTTAACAAAGCACTCTGTACAAAGCTGTGGTCAGGGCAGACGGGGATGCAAGGGGCAGTCTCACTACTAGACATAAATGGATGAATGGGTGAGGGAGGGAGCGGTGACCAATGCCTGAGAGGAGAGTCATGGAGGGCCACCTTGACCTTGATGGGAGCTCTGATTCGACAGTGAGAGACATGAAAGCACACCAGGGCAAGAGAGCTCTGCTGGGCCGACAAGGGGCAAAGGCAAAGCTGGGTTATTGAGAATTGGAAGTCCTTTAGTGAGATGCTTGATCAGAGTTGGGTCAAGACCATAACACAGTGGCATAGAATTGTACTCGAAGCATTTCAGGGAGTAAGCTTTCTGCTGATACTTCCTAGAGCGTCATTGATGTGTCTTTAAGGAAGTTCATGTAATGAACATTTAACCTACTTTCCCAGGCAGAAATTTGCCTCATGGCGAAGTTATACCCACAAATACAACAGAGTAGCTGTGAGTGCTGCATGTGTAGAAGGGAACAGGGTATGTGTTCACGTCGGTCCCTCACACAAAACCCAGCGGTGCCATTTCTCCTGTCCTTGGGAGCAAAGCTCCTGTCCCCACCCTGACTGCAGGGTGACTCTGGGCTCCTGAGGCTTCCTACTCTCTCTCAAGGCAAGGGGTGGGTTGCTCAACATCTCCTTAATGCCTGTGAAGTTTTGCGGTCAGTGAAGCTGCAATTTCTGGTGAGTGAAGTCATTTGAAACTGAAGAAAGCATAAGATACCGCTTATTGTTTATCTGCAGCGGATGACCGTCTAGATGGAGTGTTTTGTCCATTAGTGACAAATCAGATTTGGAGTTTTCAACTCCCATTTTATCCCATTACAAGCGTTCAGTTACGGATGATGAATGGCTGTCATCGCCCCAACTTTATCAGCTTCTGTTTTTAGGGAGCGAAGATCTCCTGGTAGACACGGCCCTCTCCGCCCATCCAGCACATCTTCCATTACCCAGCCTCATGCCCTTAACTTCCCTCCTTACCCTGGGCATCGTTGAGAAAGACTCAGCTTACAAAGTGGCTTTCGTTTTATGATTATCTTTTTCTAAGAGAAGCACCAAGTTCCTAGGAAAGTTTAAAGGGAGTTTTGATTCATCTCTTCATCTTATTATTATTTCTATTATTGTGCTCTCTGGTCATATTGTTTAACTAATTGAATAATTGAAGAATTGAAGGCAAGCTGCTACCCAATATGTAAACGGGCCTTACACACTGCATTGAAAAGGCAACCAATATCGTCCCCTTTGTAATGGACACTGTTGGTGCCCACCCCCGACCCGGATACCTTCGCCAGGACAGCAGACCCAACCCTGGGAGCATTGGTCATTCATGACTCACAGCTGCCCACTTCAGAGTTGTCCTGGCAGAATAGGAGCCTCTTGGCCTGGAATATTATACCTGCAGCCCACCCGGGGGCGCCCACAGCCACGGACTGACTGGCACAGGGGCACCAGAGAAAGGCCAGTCCTCTTGCCTGGAGCTGTGACCAACTCCACGGTACAACTCATGCCCCACAGCTCCAGGACCAGACTGATGCTGAGTCCTGCTGAGACCCCGTTCTTGCTTAGCTCCTCCCCCTGCCCCACTGTTTTCCTCTTTCTCTTTTCCCCTAAGGACACCGCTCCTCCAAAAATCATACTTACCAGTCCTCGTCTCAGGCTCTGCCAGAGACAATCTGGCCCATGACACTCCCCAACCGGCTGTTGTGTGGATTCATGACAGAGGCTAGTCTGGCTGGAGTCATAAAAAAGTGTATTGACCTTAACACACAAGCTCCGTAAGGGCAGAGAGTGTCGTGCTCATTGGCATATCCCTGTCACTTAGCACAATGCTCAGCACAGAGCAGGTGCTCAGGAGGTGCCCTGAGATCAGCCGATGTGGCACCTCAGGGCGAGATTCCTGGAGGTCACTTCGATTGATGACTTCTCATGGGAGAATCTCTTGTTCTTGTCTACCCTGAGATTCCAGCTTTTATTCTGGGGAACTACCCCCTCCTCGTTTCGGTTCAGGTGGAGCTGCCCACCCAGGCTGATGCCTAACCCTGAAGGTGACACAGAAAAAGGCAGAGTGGGCGGCGCAGGGCGAGCTCCCAGGTCCAGCTGTGAGAGCAAACGGCTGTAGCCATCAAGCTCTAGTTCAGTGAACCAGTAAATCATCTTTTTAGGCTTAAGCTAATTTGTTATATGTTTCTGGCACATATAACCGAAACAGTCTAGACTAGTAATATATGCTTCTATTTATAGTGCAGAATGTATTCCCTTCAACCTACCCCATCCCTATAATATCCTATACCCCAAACAGCAGGGGCTGAGAGGAGATAGCTTACCTCTGAAATCTTCAGGTTTTTGTTGCCAATTGAGAGAGGCTCACCCGGGAAGGTATCTGTCCTCAGGCTTCTTATCTGACGGTTTCCGCATCTTTCATCAGCGTCTGAAAAACCTCACCCAGACCAAAAAAAAAAAAAAGCTCTACTTGACCTCTGGGACCAGAAAATACTCCACAGAATCTTCCAGCAATTTGCTTTACTAGTGTTTACTTCGGACAAGAAATAGGAGTCATGCTGTTTAGATAAATTTGCTTTAAACTGTTCAACAGATCAAGATGTTGATGGTTGATGTTTAACCATTAACGACAAAACCTAGAAATGGTCAGTAAAACGTGGCCACAGAAATGTTGTTACTCTTAAGTACCCATAAATGTTTTCTCTCCAGGTAAGATGGACCAGCAAATATGGTCTATTTCACCCCCCAGGGGAGCAGAGTTTTGGGGGAATAAGTGAATGAGCCACCAGCCCTTAATTCTGATGCGTCGGCCAAGGCTCCTCCCTCGAGTTTCCACGTGGACCCGAGAGGCCTGTGCAGAGGCCTGTGGGGGAAGACGGGCTGGGCAGAGACCGCGCCGCTGGGCCTTTCCTCGGTGACTTTGCTCTAACACTCAAACCACTGGTTTCCCCCCCTTTTAGTTAAGTGTTTAATCCACCAAAGCGCAAAGGAGAGCAGGCAACACGGGGTCTCAGGGACCCATTTACTGGGCCCAGGTTTCTCCAGCTCAGTCAGAAACGCCTGCTAGGACAGGGTGGCTCACCTCAACTCCACGTGAGTAGTTTCTTTAGAGCGTAGTTTCTATCAAAACCAAACCGAACCAACACACACACACAGAAACGAGTTGCCTGATAAACTCTGAGGGGAGGTTTCTGCTTTCCTTTCGGAGGACACGGGACCAACTGATTCCAGGTCAGGTCAAAGAGGCTTTAATAAGGGGTCAGGTGGTCTGCAGGGGTGCATGGTAGAGTGATGCATAGTCCTTTATAATCAAGTCGAAGACTTGTGATAGTTCAGTCGAAGAAGTGACAAGGAGTGCGATATGTGTGGGGCGAGTTCCAATGTGCGTACTTGGTGAAAAGACAGAAGTAACACAGACGTCCCTGAATGGACGGGCAAGCAGGCTGTGTATCCATGCAGTGGAATGCCGTTCAGCCACGGAGGGATGCAGCGCCAGCCCCGGCTGCTGCAGCGCGGGCGAGCCTCGAACACGCCATGCTCCGGAGAAAAAGCCAGACACGAAACACGACCTCCCACAGGATTCCCTTTACATGGGATACGGGGACAAACCCACGGGGCAGAACACAGATCGGTGGTTGCCAAGCACTGGGGCGGGAGTAGGGGGCAGGATCGCTTCCTGGGGTTGGGGTCTCCCTTCTGGAAAATAAAAGGCAGAGGACTTGTCAGAGGGGGCGGTTGTAGAACATTGTGAATTTTGCTTAAATGCCACTGAATTTGTCACTTTAAAATGGTTGTTTTTATGTTATGTGAATTTCATCTCAACATCAACAAAAAATAGGAAAGGATACCCCCATCCTTACCACCGACCCCGTTTAGAAGCAGCCCCAGGGCAGGCCTGTTTCCTGGGTTTACTGCTGCAGCCGGAGCTGCGGTCCCAGGC